CTTATAATCAATTAGTGATTAATAATATTTAAATTGGTAAACTTTATGGATAATCAAACAAATAATTTAAATGCTAATATAGCAGAAGAAGAAAAAGAAAACATAGAAAATGATAATAAAAAAATTCATAACTTAAAGTCTCAAATATTAAAAAAAAAAAAAAAAATATAGCAATTCCGCCTCCGTATAAATAGGTAAGTAAGTACGCGCACTACCTTATAATATAGTTATATACTATTACTATTACTGTCAGTGGTGGACGTCATAATTCTCACCGGTAATACCATGGCGGTATATATTTTATAGGCACGACGTGTACACGTCAATTTTTCACCGATTCGGAAACCATGGTCCATATCGTGACTACTGCTGCTCTGACCATCGCCATCGCCCTTAAATAATTGTAGGATACTCGTCAACGATAAAACAATATTTCTGTATTTCTGTACTAAACTCTKCCCGTGTCCTGCGTGGCACCACTGCGTTATATAATGTGCAAATTTTTTTTCCGCACAAATATCGCAATAAATAAACGTGTTCGGGGATCCCATATCACCTCGCAMTCCCTTTTACACGTCTGCGGTTACTTTATCTAATAGTGTTTTGGGTTTAACGACATAAACGTGGTACTAAAATTTTGTTCGGATTCTATATAATATGAGATACACGTAACACTACAACAGTTTTATTTATTATTTTCTACACCTAAAATTGAATATACGATTTATGTATACGTAATATTGATTTTTTCATTTAAAMTAACCTGTAACAGTACAATATAGTAATCTCCGTAAAACTTACATTTTTCGGTGGACTGGAAAGTTTTTGGAACCAAATATATTATGTYATTATAGTTTCGGAAAATTTTTGAGGCTTATTCGCTAAACAACAATGATTAAGTCAACTAAAATATTAGCATCACATTGTTTTACTCTCTCCATACTTTGAATAATTTGATTCATTAATTGAGATGTCGTACAAAAATACAAGATTTAGTTTGTTAACAATAATCCTTTCGATTTTAAGTTTATTATTAATTTACAGTAAAAAATGACATATTATTAAAAAGAAGATATATTTTTCAAGAATATATTTTTATAATRCAAAATAATTTTAATATTTTTAGTTAAAATAAAGGATAATTCATAAGCAGTTGATATACACTAAATACGAGCGAGTATTCTTTTAAATTAAAAACAACATAATATAATATAATCAATTTCCTCTCTAGACGCATATTGAATGTATAATATCGCAACTGCATCGTGAATCTATATAATACACTATATTAGACTATATAATCTCGATAAAGTTCACTTCTAAATTCAAGTATTACAATTCCTAAATTATGACATTTTTTAGAATATTTTTAATTTACAGATGTCTTATTGAATAATATATGAATAAAAATTTCTCATAAAAGATTA